TCAGAGCTTTGCCGGAAAAAAGCGCCAGTCTAGACGTGGATCTTTTGGAAAATAAAGCCTTTTCCGAAAGATCCCTTATCCCTCTTAAAATGAGACTGAGCCGGAAAAAAGCAGCAGCCATTTTTATGCTAATGAAGCGGGGGGGATTTAAATCCTCGCTTCATTTGCAATTGCCATATGTCTAATTTGCATCCCTTTTACGGAAAAGGGATGCAGTCTAGACACAGCCCATGTGGCTGAAAGCAGCTTGTCCCTTCCTGGCATGTAACTGGCTACTGCCTGGCACTTGCCCACTTTCACCAACTCTTGCAGCTCACAGCAGGCAGCCAGGGGTGGGGCCCTGCTGGCCGAGAGCAGGCACGCAGTGGGGAGCTGTGCTGATGGACCAGCAAGGGATCGGCCGTCCCCATGTGCTGCATCTTCGCCCTGCTGCCAGCCTTGTACTCCCACTCCCATCGTCCCACTCATCTCTGGTGGGCAGGCAGCTGGCGAGCAGGGATCCAACCAGCACCAGGAGTTGGTACTGATGAGAGGAGACAGAAAACATTGGACAATTTGCCTATTTTTAAGAAGAAGTCGGGACACCTGCAGGAAGGCTTAAATATGGGACTGTCCCTTTAAAACCCCCTAATCAAAACCCCAGTGAACTCCTAAACAAAGTGATCCAATCGGGGCCCAAAGCAATAAGACTCAGGTGTCCAGTCATGCAGCTGGACTAGTGACTCCCCGATCTCAAACAGCTGAAAGGCTAATGCAGCCCAAGTATTGGCTGAACAGTTTTGAGGTGGGGAAAAACTTGTTAAAATCCTGCTCTGTTTGTGTGCAATTCATAAACAACAAAGGGCTGTGTTTGCTGATGTTGTCAATTGTTTGCTCTTGTTGTGAGGGTCAATCATGGAAGGTCTGCAATTGATGGCAAATTCTTGGATAGAAGGTGCTTGTAGAATGCCAAAGCTGGTAATGATTTTCCCTTTCTTGCTCATTAAGTGTGCAGTCCTGACACTAGTTTGGCGTAAACTGTGTTTATGTAAAGAGAGACCCTAATAGAGAGACCCTACAAATGGAACCAAACCTGGGAGCTCTGGAGCTTAGTGCATGAGTCTCTGCCACAGGAACTCAAAAGCAACTGGTGCTCAGCTAAGGCTGTAGAGCAGACTTATTATTCTTTCTCTGGCTATGCCTATACACTGCAGAGTTATTTCGGAATAAGCTATTCCAGAACAGTTATTCCAAAATAGCTTATTTCAAAATAGCATGTCTACACTGCAGGGAAGCCTCAAAATTAATCTGAGGCTTCCCTAATGTAGACGTGCTATCTCGATTTAGAGCCCCGGGAGGAATAACTTAGAATGGCCCTGGTGAGGGGCTATTTCGAAATAGCAGCCGTGGAGCGTCTACACACACCTTATTTCAAAATAGCTATTTTGGAATAGGCATTAGTCTTTGTAGAATGAGGTTTACAGGAGTTGGAGTAAGCCATCCTGTTATTTCGAAATTATTTCAAAATAACAGAATTGCTGTGTAGACGCTTGCATAGTTATTTTGGAATAACAGCAGTTATTCAGAAATAACTTTGCTGTGTAGACACACCCTCTGAGTGGTCTTGGTACCACTAGATGGAATAGTACATCACATCCAGGAGATATGTGGGTTACATTTACACAAGGGATTTCCGTTGGTACAGCTAGCCTGATGCCTAAAATCCCGGGCCCACATTTTTCAAATATGACTAGTCAATTTGGATGCTTGTTTTTAGATGCCGGACTTTAGGCACTTCTGTGGGGTTTTATGGTCTCAGAGTTGCCCAACCGTGTGGGAAAATCAGGTTTCTTTAAGGCTAATCATTGGGCACCCAAAAACTGAGCAACTGCAAATCCCTGGCCACTTATGAGAACTTAGGCCCAGGAGGTGCTGAGGAACCTGTGACCTTTTGAGAGGCACTCAACATGCTGACTGGCAGAACTCGAGTTTTCTGTGTCTTCTGTGTCATGTTTTTGCCTTTCTTTCTCTGCCTGTCCCTCTGAACTGTTCCCTTGTCTGTCTGTTTGTCTGTCTCTCTACTCTCCACTCGTCCTTCAAAGTTTGGGGTACCCACTCTTCTCTCTCTGCTCCTCTGTATTGTCCCGGGGAAGGCCATCCACATCACCTACGAGCCAGGCTGGCAGTCCCTGGTGGCAGATTCTTCCTCATCGTCCTCCTTGCAGCAGGTAACCCCTGGAGTAAGAACAGAGGTGGCATAGAGGACAGGCTGAGGGGAGGGTGGGATTCACCAGCCTCTTACACCTTCAGCCTTTCTCCCTTTCTTCACACTAACATCCATTTTTTGTTTCTTTAATTGATTTCCATTGTGTGGCTCTGGAGTTGTATCCTGGCACCAGGTGAGCAGTCTCTGTAGCACAGAGCTAGTGTGCTATCTAGGGAGATGGGGGACTGGGCTGCTTTGGTCATTGCATTCTTTTCATGCTGGGCTTGTTTTGTTTTTTTCTTCCACGTGCTCCTTTCACAAACTGTAACTGGGTCTGCTGGTTGTTTAAGAACAGGGCCAGGCCCAGCACGGTCCTGTCACTGCTGCAGCCTAGAGTGAAGGCATATTGCGATTTGGCTTTCGACTAATGGGAATTGTAGGGCATGCTGGGAGGGGGTACGGAAGCAGGGCATAAAATGAGAGAGACCAGGAAAGAGGCAAAATCTGCCATGTGTCTCTCACAGCAGCAAATTTGAGTTCCTCTGCAAAGCAGAATGGGTGAAGCTGCTCCCATGGCCTGGGAAGCTACTCCCTCTCTGCAGAGAACCCCTAACAGGTTCAGTGCTCTGAGGGAGGCTGCTTCTTATACTCTCATTTCCCTTCTGTGCATTCTCTGCTACTTATAGGCCCCATCACTTTTGGGAACTACAACTCCCAGAACGCCACAGTTCTGGGCTGCAGCAGCTCCAAGACTTCTGGGTAAGACCTGTCTTTAAAGATCCAGCACGCCCTGCTACAGAAAGGCACTTACGATAAAAATGGTGATGGCTGCTCACTGAAAACCTCTCTGACTCATCCCTTTGCTGCATTGATCACTTTCTCCTAGGAGATTTTCTACCTTCATTGTCATTGTGGACAACCCCTGCCTATCCTCTCTGGGGGTGAGAGGGGAATTTGGTCCATACATGTGTTCAGTGGCTGTCTCCCCCCAGTGGATATTCTCTGTCTTGTCCTGGGGGAACTTGGGCCTTGCACAGGCCTCAGCCTAAGGGTACGTCTAGACTACATGAGATTAGGCTACCAGACATAGGAAAATGAAGTGGCGATTTAAATAATCGCTGCTTCATTTAAATTTACATGGCTGCCGCGCTGAGCCGACAAACAGCTGATCAGCTGTTTGTCAGCTCAGCGCGATAG